ATCTTGTATGAAATTTTCGTACATACAAGCAATTGTGTTATATAATTGCACCATATAATTGAACAATAATTTATAATATCTTATAAAAGTGCAAGATACAACAATTTTTTAATATTTTTTTTATAAAAACATTTAATCTATTTGTATGTAGAGTTAGCAATGTAAAATTTTGGAAAATTTTCAACAACAAAAGCAAACCTTCGCAAGATCGACCGTTAAGTCCAAGGTTGTAACCATCCGGACACCTGCAAGCATAACTTCCCGGTGTGTTTTCGCAGATTCCCATGCACAAGTGGTTACTTTTAAACTCCGTGCACTCATCGACGTCTGTGCAAGAACGGTTGTCAGGATTCAGTCTGAATCCAGGCTTACAACTGCATCTGTAACTGCCCCACGTGTTGTAACATACGTGTTGACACAAACCAGGATTTTGTTGACATTCGTTCACATCCTAAAATTAAGAACAGTAATAATTATCGATATCCGATAAATCGAGTTAAAATACATCAAAACTAATTTCCTTCTACCCTGAACGTACAATTAACGATAATATTATTATCTGCAACTTTATTTGCTAAATTTTTTTCAATATTCTTTCACGTTCAGAATTAAGAAAATGTTATCTAACAGTGTTAAAAGTGTTACCGTGAAATAAAGTGAAATTAATATTTATAATGTACCTGACAACCACTACCAGTGAAACTACCAACGTTTTCAAAACCACTGTCACAGTTGCATCTATAAGAACCAACTGTATTCTCGCATTGACTATTTGATCCGCATATGTTACCGTAAAGGCTACATTCGTCGATATCGATGCAGTCCTTATTCGGTCCAGTCACATGTCCAGGTGGACAATTGCAAACGTATCCACCTAATCTGTTCACGCAAGTTTGATCCGCGGTACATTTGTGTGTACCATCCGCGCACTCATCCACATCGACACAATTCTGTCCTGTTACCGGATCCAAAGTATATCCATTGCCGCAAATCACTCTGGACACACACCTGAAATTAGAATGTTGAGCAATTGTGTAAAAAGACTTTGAAATGATACAGATCTCGTATATTCGGTACTTGTTAAACATAAAACATATTATACTTTGGGCAACACATTATAGCATTTGGGACGGTTCTGTGTAATCCTTGGCGTCACCGATACACAGTGGAGTATTCTATTTGAAAAGCTGGCCAAAATTGAAATTTTCAAACTTAATTAAACATCAAAAATATGGTTTCTTCTTGAAAATATTATTAAAGCGAAGTATCGTCATTTCTAAGTGCATCTGTCTTCGCTAAAACTATACTCTGTCCAATTTAAGAATAACCTCGCTCTCGGACCGATTTTCGTCTGTTCTGCGCATAGAC